TGTTGTGTGGTGGGGTGGGGGGGGGGGGGGTCGAAGACTACATCTTGGACCAGAGAAATGGCGTCCAACATTTGGGCTCTGCTTTAGGTTTGACTGGGATGTGGTCCACATATGAGCTCAGATCTAGTCTTTCAACCCATATGGGTCAAGCTGTTCCTGGGCAGAACAATTTAATTCTGCAGAGGTCAAAGGTCAGTCTCTCACCCCGCTGCCCTGCCCTTCGTACCGTCACCACGACCTTAGCACAGTGTGGCCCAGAGCCTACGTACCCAGACTGCTGCCGTCAGTGTTTCACCTCAGTTTCCATTTTCCAGGTCCATGGAAAAAAAAATCAAAACTGACGTCCGTGGAGTCGGAGTGCAGTCTGGGACCTGTGGCACCGGTCCAGGTCTCCCGCCACAGCTCACGGTCCAGGAGTCGGCCGTGGTCGGTCCAGATGTGCTGCACCGCCCCACCAGACTGGGCCGCGCCCCGGCTGGGACGGACAAAATGGATCCAGGTCAAACTGAACCAGTCTCTGCTCCAGAACCTCTGAGGAGCATCAGCAGACCCAGACCCAGTGCTCTGAGAACCAGACCCGCTCCAAACCACCCCCCCAGGGACATCGACCTGATGCCAGTTTGCCTCCCCGCGCCCCACAATGCCAACATCCGGCCTCCGTCCCCGACAGAGGGCCCCCTCCCTCGTCACGGTCCTCAAAGTCCCAACGGTCCTCAGCCTCAGCTGGGCCCCACGTCCAGTCTCCTCCGGTCCAACCCCAACCCCAACCCCCCGGCCAGCCTCACCCCCCGGCCCAGCCCTGGTCCACAGACCCAGAGGACCAGCCCGCATCAGAGCACCAATCAGAGTCAAGGCCACGCCATGAAGCCCGCAGGAGAGAACGGCGACTTCAGGTGAGACACATGGTGACCCACATGTACCGGTCCACAGACCGGACCACACCGGTTCACATATTGGACCACACTAGTCCACATATTGGACCACACTAGTCCACATATTGGACCACACCGGTCCACATATTGGGCCACACTAGTCCACATATTGGACCACACCGGTCCACATATTGGACCACACTAGTCCACATATTGGACCACACCGGTCCACATATTGGACCACACTAGTCCACATATTGGACCACACCGGTCCACATATTGGACCACACTAGTCCACATATTGGACCACACCGGTCCACATATTGGACCACACTAGTCCACATATTGGACCACACCGGTCCACATATTGGACCACACTAGTCCACATATTGGACCACACCGGTCCACATATTGGACCACACTAGTCCACATATTGGACCACACCGGTCCACATATTGGACCACACTAGTCCACATATTGGACCACACCGGTCCACATATTGGACCACACTAGTCCACATATTGGACCACACCGGTCCACATATTGGACCACACTAGTCCACATATTGGACCACACCGGTCCACATATTGGACCACACCAGTCCACTGATTGGACCACACTGGTCCACAGATTGGGCCACACCGGTCCACATATTGGACCACACCGGTCCACAGATTGGGCCACAGTCACTGCTGCTCCTATCTCATGTCTAAATACAGAAGCCCAGACACTGGGCTGCAGGCACTGAGTTCCAGACCATGTCACCTGAATCTGGGCTGCAGTTTTATGAAGCTGACA